GGCGACAGACAAGGAGTTAAGTACCAAAGATGCTATCATGCAGCTGCTGGACCTTCCCTAGGGGACAGTCTCCAGCCTTCCTTCCTTTCCACAGTTGAAGGCTGACACCTTCCTAGACTCTCCACTCATCTCTATCATCCACACTTGCTTTTTACAAGCTGTCACTGCAATGCCAGAATGGCTGATAGCAGCCTCCAGTGTGAACCCCCCTCAGCTGAGTTCCAACCAAACAATGAACTTGCAAAAAGAAAACAGGACAAGCAAGAGTTAGGTTTGAGATCAGTTCAGTTGGATTCCCACTTGTAGACACACTGTTCAATCTAGCAGGCATTCCAGGCTGGGTGCGGAGAAACTTGGGGAGAGGGGGCTTGTCCTAGCAATATCAGAGTGACAAAGCCTCCTCCTGGTCTCCAGGAGGACTTTTGAAAAACAGGGTCTCTCATAGTCCAGGCTGTCCTCTAATGTGCTGTGGTTTGAGTGTAGTGGAGTATAGTGGTGGGCGACCTTCGTCTTTCAGCTACCCCTGTCAAGTGCTTGAGATCACCGGTGTGAGCCATCACACCTCGGTGGTCAATGGAATCTGCTCACTGATTTTCCTCAGACAGCTTGCATGTAGGTGCTTCACGTCTCAGCTTGGCATAACACCCTCCTTCTGGCTCTAGTGCTGTTTCTAATCTTTTCACTCTCCTGTTGCCTAGTGCAGATTGATGATGACCTCGTCTCTTGGGAATTGATAACATAATGGAGTATTTATTTTTCTGTGTGAAAAATGCACTTAAGGCTGCTAATGAAAACAGATAACATCTCACTGATGGCCCAGCTGAAATAGTGCTGTCTTAAGAAACTGCTCCATCAACAGTGGTATTCTAGAAGCTTCTATAGTGACTTCCAGATGAATACAACAACTATATTCCTTGGCACAAGGTCCTAATACTGTTTGAGCATTGGTCTTTTGGACCCATGTCAATTACTCACTTTGCCTCTTTAATTAGCTTGCCAGGCCCTGGAAAGCAAGGACATGCTGTATGCATCTCTCCATTCTTTCTGCTTTGGTATTTGTGACTTATCACCTGTCCATATCTCCTGGGAGAAACATCTTCAAATTCCTTGGTGGTAAGAGGAAATTGCTAATCACATATTTGTGAGTTTATGGGTTTCCCACCTCAGTGAGCAGTCTTCTGACACCCTATTAACTATAGGTTTCAATTTTCCTCGTTTCTGTGTCCTTTTATTTTTTATTTTCTTTTAAACCACAAGTCCCTCTGTCATAACATCCTTACTCAAGCATTATCAACTCCTTGAGAGTGTGGAGTCCACGGGAAGATTTCACTGAGACCACGGGAAGATTTCACTAAGACCCCAGCAGCCACCTGCCTTCAGGACACCAAGACATGGGTCGTTAAGCCCCATGTCCTTTATAGCCCAACCAACACAACCCTGGGCCCAGAAATCCATCATCGCTGACTCTTTCCACATCTGTTCTGTGAGGGCTGTGATCTGACTCAGTCCATGTCCATCCCTCATGAATGGGCCCTCTTTACTGTGTTTCCTGAACTCCTATCTATTTTCAGCAACACCCCTGTAGCCCTCAACCACTTAGCTTTGGGAGAGCATCCTGTAGCCCTCTTCCCTGCTCTGTTGCATATTCATGATCATAGACCTGTAGGACTTTAGTGTCTTGACTAAATTTTCATTAATGTACAGACTCTCATTCCTAAGATATTTCATGTCTTTTCTTTGCTTCTTAACAGAAACATTCCTTATTCCTTCCTCTCTCTGCTTCTTAGCTCACTGGGGACTTTGAAGCATTCTGAAGAGATCACCAATGCTCTCCTTTACTCCTTCTTCCCATGATGCTCACGTCCCTCACATTCCTTGACTTCTTTGTCCTTCCTTCCTGTGGACACTTCTTTCTGCTCTTCCCTATTCCTTTGGTTTCCTGCTCTATCCAAACTTTCCCATCAGAATATACACACCATGACCTGTCTACCACCTTTGAGAATTGCCTCTGGATCTCTCAAGAAGCACCCATTCCCAGCTCTACTTTTCCTAACTCTTCCCAAGAGTAGTCTATTCTCATCCCACTTGATCTTCCATTCTTCCTCGAAGATGCACAGCTGAGCTTCTGTTCCCATCACTTTACAGAAGCTATCAGCCTTACCTGGCCACTGTCCATCATTTAGGAAGGCCTTGTCACCAAGGCCACTGCTGGTGTTCAGTCCTCCACTTGCTCTACCCAGGAACTGTGTGTGACAGAATGGACTATTCTTGTCTTTTGTTGTTGTTGTTGGTGGTGGTGGTTTGTTTGTTTGTTTGAGGTAGTTTCCCTGTGACAGCCCTGGCTGTCCCAGATCTCACCCTGTAGACCATACTATTCTTGTTTTGAAACATTTTACCTTCTGCCTTGGGGATTCCACATTCTCCTAATTTTCCTCCTACCTTGTGTGCTACTCTCCTACTTTCTCCTCTCTGCCAGGCCTGACACCTGAGACTCAGTTCTTCTCTGTCCTTTCTCTGGATGCCTCCTCTCTGGCCACCTCCCCGTGCCTCTTGATGTACAGGTGGATATTGTTCAAGACTTTACTCTTAGCTCATGTCTCCTCAAAGCTCCAAGTTTCCATAGCCACTACCCACCTGACAGACACTCAGATGTCTAACAGACATTCCTAGCATAGTGAGAAAGCCATGTTCTGCTGTCCCACCTTCTCCAGCTCCTCCTAGCTCTCTCTCTCTCTCTCTCTCTCTCTCTCTCTCTTTTCTCTCTCTCTCTCTCTCTCTCTCAAATATACCACCATTTACCCAGTTATTCAGGTTCCAATCCTAGAAATTACAGTTGATTTCCCATGTTCAGATTTGTCAGTTCTGCGCTGAAGGAAGTGCTCAGTGTGCTCACTCCTCACTGCCTGCAATTGCAAAGTAAAGTCTACCAGAGTTCAAGGCCTCATGGCCTCTCTCCCAGACCTTTCTGAGGCCTTAGTTGGCTTCCCTGTTTTTACTCTTTCTTGCAATTGGCTCTTCTCCACCCAGCTACTACAGTAATCATTACAAAATATAAAGACGAGCCATTCAGTTTGATAAAACCCCTTCAATGACTTTCAACCACAAGTAGACAAGTCTACAAATTTTACTTGACCGAAAAGACACCCATGTGACATGACCTATCTGGCGTCAGCCTCTTTTTGCCCTTGCCTCTTGCCCTTGCTTGAGCAGATGAGGCTTTCCCATCTCTGCACCCACTGTTCCCTGTGCCAGCCCACTCTTCCTCCTGGATTTTACAAGAGTCAGCACTCTGTTTGGATGTTCCTAGCATACACAGAACCTCTCAGATCAGACCACCTGTCTCATCATCCTTACACTACCTGGCCTCTCAGTGCTTGATCTCTGATAGTGCATCTTAATACTTAATATTTTAGGGCATATTGCACATGTCTATTTCATTGACAAAGACTTTCTGTCTTGAACACTCTTAGCAGCTAAAACAAGGGTTCAGTGAGCATTTGCAGAGTGAGTGGGTGCAGCTATAATAGTGTATTCTCTGGGAGGCAGAAAGAGGAGGAATGTGGGAAGAGAAGCAGAGAGGCTAAAGTGTGTCCTTCAGTAAACTCAAAGCTCCAGCATCCTTCCAGAAGTGGTGTTAGGGACAGTGACAGGCGGCACAAAGAAGGCCATGAGGTGAGTCAGTCTCTCCAGTAGCCCTGTTCTACAGAAATCCCACAGCAGTAGAATTCACCTGTGTCCCCACTGTATCAAAATATAGCTGGTTGTTGAACACTTTAGACGTGTCCAGTGGGAATGAGAGATGGAATTCACGTATAACTTAATTTTGATCCACATTTAAATAGCTACATGTGGCTTGTGGCTATGCCATTAGATAGAACTTGAAAAGTGTCTTTCTTCCACCTATGGTGGCAGGATGATAGTTGTTGAAGAGTCTGTGTTCAAAATCTGTGTCACAGTTGGCACTCAAAAACTAGACCTATCATTCTGACATAGCGTTGCAAAGTATGGTACTGTAATTGATACTGGCCTCAAAGGAACTTTAGAGAGATTGTGTTATTATTGTTCTTTGCTATGATTTTGTGTTTGTTAGAGTTCGTGGTAACCAGCCTGTGAGTCTGTGTTTTAGCTTACAAACTAAAAATAGCAAAGAAGTGCTTTGGGATTGCATCGAAGGCTGTTCAGAGACAGGGGACTGTTTGGAGTGGTTGGCTTGTTGATACTCAGGATGAGTTAATTAATTTTGACTACAGCTAAGTTTGCATCTGCAAAAATTGGATTTGCAATATTATTGTACTGTTTTCAAGCTGTCATCTGCAACTTCCGGGATGATTTTGAAAAAGAGTGATGTCTGTTTTCCAACCCACTGCTAAAAATGAAAGAGTATTTGCTTACTGGAATTGTTATGATAGATTCTTTAAGGTTTTTAATTGGCTTGGATGCATAAAAAAACAAAACAAAACCCTATTTCTGTTGTCATGAGTGGTTTACCATGTTTTTTTTCCATAATGAATTCAGAAAACAACATGCGCAGACAAAGCCTAAGCAGACACTATAACTAACACAATGGAATGAACCATCTAACCCAATCCTACTGTCACATTTATCCAGAATAAGCATGATGGTTATTTTCAAACCAATAGGGCTGTCTTCCCCATCCATAGCAGAGCACAAGTAGTATTCAGCAGTCTGCTTTTGGGACTCTAAAGGGAGCGAGTAGATTTAAATTAAACAGACTTAAAGGCATTAAGAAAATGTGACATTCTCGCTGAAGGGACCAATGAATCTATAGCAGCCAGTATCCTTCTTTGCTGCAGCTGACAAAGCGACCTGGGACCCAGTGCAAAGGAGACTGGAACAGAAAGAGAGAAAAGGCTAATTCCCACCAGGGAGTCCTGTGTGATTTGCAATGCAGACCCTCCCCCCTTTCACCCTAGCTGGTGGGTCTCCCATGGAGACTCCCCTCCCTGTAAATGTTAAGTGGTGGCGCTGAGAACACTCACCAATGGGCATCACTAGGAAGAAAGGCAGCCAGCAGAGCACGAAGCAGCCCACCACGATGCCCAGAGTCTTGGCTGCTTTCTTCTCTCGGGAAAACTTGAGCAGCCTCACAGAGAAGTGAGTCTTATTCTTGGCACTGTTCACCCCGCCACCTCCTGCCGGGACGTTTTTCCGGTGGATACGGAGCGTCACTTGCTCCGAGTCCGACTTGTCCGTCTTGAGGCCGGACTTGAGGCCCCGGCTTTCCCTCTTGGCCACTACGTAGACTCGACAGTACATAACCAGGATGATGGCCAGTGGCACGTAGAAAGAGCCCAGCGCGGAGAACAGCACGTAGCCAGGCTCCTCGTTTATCTGGCAGATGGTCTCATCCTCAGGCGCTGGCTGCCTCCAGCCGAACAAGGGTCCGATGGAGATGACCAGGGAAAGCGCCCAGACACAGAGCAGAGCCCTGACGCCCCTCCTCTGTGTGACAATGGTGGGGTAGCGCAGCGGGTAACTCACACCAATGTATCGATCGATGGAGATGATACAGAGGCCCATGATGGACGCTGTGCAACATAGGACATCCACAGCAGCCCAGATGTTGCAGAAGACCCTGCCAAAGGCCCAGTAGCCCAGGATCTCAAAGATGGCTGAGAAGGGCAGTACGGTGGAGGTGAGAAGGAGGTCTGCCACCGCCAGGTTGACGATGTAGTAGTGAGTCACGGAATGCAGATGACGATGACAGGCCACCGAGAGGATCACTAAGATGTTCCCCAGAACTCCGAATATGATGAGCCCCCCTAAGATTACCCCGAGCAGAATGGCCTTAGAAATGTTCACCGGTGCTGGTGGGTGAGTGCAGTTGGAGCCTTCCGAAGCATTTTCAGCGAGAAGCACCATGGTCCCAGGGAGCGGGGGACAAGGTCCACCTCTGGACAGCCACCCTCTGGGTGGGAGTGAGAAAGCCAAGTCAAAAGACCTCAGCTTGGGGGACTCCGGCCAGCTGGGTTGGGCTGGGGGAGGGAGAGAACACACCTGTTGGAAACCACCCTGGCCAGCCCTGGGAGCCCTCAGAGGGCCACACTAAGTCATAGAGCATTAAGGGTGACATGGCCAGGGGCGCTCTAGACTGCGGGGGACACTTTCCCTACCCAAAGCTCGCAGAGAGGTTCAAGGGGACATGCTGCTGAATGCAATCCCAGAGATCACAGGAGTTCACTTTTCTACATCGTCTGGTCCATCATGTGCATTCACATGTAAATTAGAAATCCATAAGTCTATTGCTGGTCTTTGCTGAAAAGGGTAGCTAAGTGAGGGTCAGCGGTCGAACCCTGGTCATCTGGGCGCTGCAGCTTGGCCACCCAACTATGGGCTCCTGCTAGCTCCAGCTTCTAGGCGCTCTGGAGCGATGGCATGGATCTGAAATATTTGCTGAGACCGAAGTGGCCCTGGAGCTTCCTTTATCTGAATCCAGCTGAAAATAAAAAGCATAAAGAAATATGCGGACAGTGAGGCAGGCGCCCTAGACAGCCAGGCCCTGTTAAGCTCGCCCAGTAACCAGACTCCTACTGGGCGCCCGCTGCTCTGCAGTCCAGGAGTGGCTTTTTGAGGCCTCGATGCAGGCAATGAGGGGAACACAGGAGGGGATCCTGTGCTTTGTCTCCCTCCTTAGTCCTCCCCTCTGGGAAGCTGCCTTCAAGTACTTCACCTCCCCGTGGCTGACCAAGTTCAATACCCAAAACAAAACCAAGCCAAAAAAAAAAAAAAAAAAAAAAAAAAAAATCAAAACAACCTCCCCACCTCACATAATGACAACAAAACCTCAAGCCGCAGTAGCTAGAAGCTGGATTTCCAGAGTCAGGGTGGAGAAACGCCCCCTCCCTGCACCACTACCCCAGCTCGACAAGCTTGATTGCGGCTGCGGATTGTCACACCGAGGCAAGCTGGTGGAATCTGGAGGAGCCTCCAGGTCGCCTTGTGAACAGGTTGCACCACAGTCACCTGGAGAGGGCAGCCTGGGAGAGCGAACCTCAGAGAGCACGGAACCGCAGGGCCACGCACACGCTCACTCCCGCGGAATTGGCGCTCGTGGGAGCAGAACGCGCGAGTCTGTCTACTAGCCAAGCCATCCCCGAGAGAGAGCCAGGTTCCCAGAAAAGCTGATCCCCAGGGCTAAACAGGGCCCTGACGGATTCAGGCGGGATCTCTAAGGGGCGTCCGCCCTAGGGATTCCAGCCTCTAGCCACACCCGGGTTTCTGGGGAGCGGAAGGAGAGCATCACCCCTCGGACCAGGCTCTAGTAGCATTCACTGCGGATTCCCTAAGGGTTAAAAAAAAAAAAAAATCAAATCCGCGTGCCAGCAGTCAGGGATGCCTGGGATTTTCTGGGCTAGGGGTCATGATTTACCTAAATGGCCGGATTTCTACAACTACAAAAGGACTAGGAAACGTGGGACAGGAGTGCGGGGCTTGGGGACATGTACACTTTGTCTTTTGGGGTTGAGCCCCAAGGCAGGGAGGGATCTCAGACTGCTGTGAAAAATCACTAGTTCAAGTCTTCACAAGCGATACCCAAATCACGCCACTGCGGAACCCGCTTTCTCTTACCTGGGGTCTATAACTGGGTTAAAATGACACTTGTTAACTAGAAGGTAACTTCTCGTGGCAAATCAGGAAAACGCAGTGGTTTGGGGTGCCAGTATCAAAGCGGGTCCTAAAGCGGATACGCGGGGCTAAGTGGAAGGTCCAGTGTCAGCTGGAGGCTGGGCACACCTGCCCACTCCCACCCGACCCTGTGGTTTGCCTGCTCCCGGCACCACAGCACTACTCACCTGCTGCGCGGATGCGGAGGCCCTGGCGTGGGGAAAAGCGGACCTTCAGTCCTTGCAGCGCCCGCTGCTTCTCTGCAGGGAGGAGAGGGGACGGTCTCCTAAGACCAAGTCCCAGTCCTTAGCACCAGCTGACTCACCCACGACTGTCGAGCACCTCAAACTCCGGGCTCGCTTCTGCTTCTCATGGGTCTTTTAAAAATAAAGACTGATAATAGAGAAAAGAAAAGACAAATACAGCCAGCCAATAACTCCACAATCACCGGTTTGATATTCAGTTCCTGGACACCAGAAAAGAGCCGCGAGGAACTTTGCGGCTCTGGTTGACGTAGTACAGGCAGTAGCCCAGAGAGTACCGTAATCTCCAGCTGTTACCGTATTCCTCTGCGGCAACCCGCACAATCTCGTAAAACTCAGGGTTGGTGCTTTCTCCTTCCTGCCAAGAAGTAGACTCATCTCTTCCCATCCTGTCTCTCTATCCCTGCTCTGTCTCTCTTCCCCTCTCCCCCTTTCCTTTTCTCTCCCCTCTCTCTTTACCCTCCTTCCCTTCCCTATCAATAGGTTGATATATACATTTAAATAAATAATAATAATAATAAAAACAAAACAGACTTCCTTCCAAGTTTTTACTGAATAGATAATGTGTTTACAGAAATCACCCAAAGGTTACTTTGAAAAGTTTAGTCCAGCTCATATTTGGGTTTATTTAAGTCAGGAAGTGTGTAGCTGATGGTGTCAAATGTACAGATGCATGACTTTGTTTGCAGATGTTTAAAAAATACACACAACCAGATAAGATCCCCTAGACTTGATTGCAACAGTTTCTGGAAAATAAAGTCTATTAAAATATGATCCGCCTTCCATTTGGTTAGATGGAGTTCTAAAAATGATATGTCCTCAAGGCAGTTTCTACCACAAGGTAGTATCTTTAAGTGTATTTGTTTCCAATTCTCAAAAGAAAATGTCTTGTTAGAGAAGAATTTCCTCTTTTCTGTTTTCTAATAGTGAAGAGCTCACACAGTCTTATTTTTTTATCTATCTATTCTTGACCACTCAGAATATTAAGAACAAACAAGAGTTTTCCAAGTATGGTACCCATCTCTGACATTGTCCTTCTTTTATTGGTATTGACTCAGACAGAAAGTTTTTTTGTTTGTTTTGTTTTGTTTTGTTTTGAAGAGCTTAGTAGATCCCTTAAGTCTGGTAATACAAAAACCACCTTAAGAGAACATAGGGCTGCAGCTGCATCTATTAGGTAGAATCTTTGCTTGCATGAATGTATGAAACCCTGGATTGGGTATGAAACCCTGGATTGGACTACCTGTAGTTCTCTCCCCTCTTCTGAGCAAAAATATGTTAATAGTATTCATTTAAAAAAAAAAACGTATATTTAGAGACTTTTAAGTAGCAGTGTGCCACAGTGTGCAGAGACACAGCCATGTGGTGAGATCAGGGGTCCTTTAACTCTGAAGACCTGGTACTTAGATTTCTTTCTCCGTCATACATAAAATCTCCCCAGCCCCATGCTTGAAGACGTACTACCCACACCTACTGTGTTTGATTCGATTTGACTTTAGTAGCATTTAAAGAGTGTGTCTAAATGGTTTGCTTCTTCACAAACTGAACCATGGACTCTAGAAGAAGCCTCATGGATAAATAGACAAGAAATTCACCTTTTTAAACCCTCGTCCATTAGTGACTATGTTACATGCTTTCTGAGATTCCCTTCCCCATTTGGAAGAGACTGCTCTATAACCCCTAAGGCTTTCATCCCCTATCAAATAAATGGGTGAGAGTTCTTCTTTGGGAATCTCGCCCCCTAGAGGGAGATCCATTGTGTAGCTTTGTATCCTCTTACCTACACCATGAACATTGGTTATTGGTTCTCTTTAGTATCTGTTCTATGGTAAAGAAGGGAAACAAGCTCTGGAGGGAAAAAAAAAATGAACGAAGATCCTTGAAATTCTTAAATCTCTAAGCCCAACAAATGGGAACACATCCATCCCAACCACTAACTGTGGCCCAAACCATACAGCCACTCTCTGCAACCAAGTAGGTTTCAGCTTTCGAATGTCAATCTTTAGAAAGCAGACTCTCACCACAAGCCTTCTGGTTGCTAACCACAAATTCACAAACGGAGAACCACTTACTCTTAGATTTTTGCCAGCTTATATTTATTATGAAAAACGATAGCTTTAAAAATGATATTTTTATTCAAATATGTCATGTGCTTTGACCATATTCACCCCCATTACCCTCTCCCACTAGTTCCCTAAACCTCCCCAAATAGTTTCCATTCTACATTCATGTCATATATAAAATTTATGTATATTATACTCATATATGTATAAATCAAGTTGCACACATGGGAGAAAATATGCAATGTTTGTCTTAGTCTGGCTTATTTCACTTTCTTAGTCTGGCTTATTTACCAGTTCCATATGTTCCTCATGGCAAGAATCAAACTCCATTGTGTACATACTACAGACTTTCTTCAGCCACTGTGTAATGCATGGTTGAAACACATCAATGACAGACTCCTGGTAGGTGTAGTGAAGAGACAGTAGCCATGGAGATCTGAAGAGCAAATCCCACTTCCTGTGAGGCTTTTCTGGGACTTGGTTTCCTAATTCTTAAAGGGGATAGTGAAACCCAGCAGGGTTGTTGGTGGGGTCCAATGAAATTATCTCTCTGAAGAATGTTTTCATGGTCCTGACTGGCTCTCACTATTAAGCTTATGAATGCATTAATCTTGTGAATTCCTTTATTTTTTCTCTCTATATTTTGGGTTACTTTGAGTTGAAATATGCATCTAACCTAACATAGGCCATGGATGTTCAGCTTAAAAATTCACTTGAGAAAATGGTGATGTCAGAAGGATCCAACATGGCACACTTGGACCTGCTCTTCTTTACCTGTGTCTGCATGTGAACCCCTTAGCCCAGGCATCTTGAGAGCCACCTGTTGGCAGTGGATCTTGACAAGTACAAACCTGTGATGTCTGTCTAGATAGGATGGAGATGGGTGAAATTCCTAAAGACCAGAAAGAGAAGACTGTGTGACTCTTCAGGGTTTAGAAGAGAACCAGGCACAAGACTTTGGTTTCATGGACCCCTTACACCAAGAAGAATTATATGGCTACAGGGAGTCAGAGCTGGGCCCTCTAACCCAGAAACCCCACCT